TATATATATATACAGTAGAATCCTGATAGTTCGAAATGGCAAGGGGACTAGTTTTGGTTCGATTTACACAGAAATTCAAATAATCGAAAATTATTGAGGACGAATTTCTTTTCGATTTATCGCGCTTTTCGATTTAGCGGGGTATGAATTACCGAGACTCGACTGTATCACTGACTGTATATATATATATGTACATATATATACATATATGTTTTTTCTTTAGTACCTGATTATGAAATTCCGGTAATTTTCGAGCAGTTTATTTTTCTATTAAAACTGTCAAAGCTTCTTAGCTTAACTTAGTGGGAGATAATGCAGAAATAATTTTACTTTTAAATGTTCTTAGAGCCGAGTGATGCAAACTTTATATGAAAAAGTCTCTAGTCAAATTTATAAAATAAAAAGGTTACAACTACAAATACGGATACAATATTAAAGAATGTAATTAGAATGTCATCTAAACTTAAAGAAATTGTAAATATTGTAATGCTTTTACATTAATAGAAATTGAAAGTATATACATACATTCATACATATGTATAGAAATGTACATACATAAATGAAGTCCACACACACACAATCGCCTTTGCATCCTGTATGAATGCAAGTTATCGAATGTGAGTGTTTTTATTTTACACTCTGGAGCAACACGGTAGATACAAATAGCACGATTGTATATAAATGTACATATGTATGTACTATTTGTATATGTACATATATATACATAGTATACACGTATATCTGTGTATATGAATATAAATACATACATATATGCATACTATCTTATTATTTAACAGCTATTGAAACACACAAACACAGCTGCGAATACTCAGAAGAACTTTGCTAGTCAATTTAGTCTAAAATATCACCAAAAAAGGAGAAATAAATAAATAAAAAATAAAAACAAAWACAAAAAATGTAAACAAATCATGAACAAAATTATATTGAAATGAGAAACAACAAATATTAAAAATGTATTACGTACATTTACGTAAATCCATTTAAAGTTAAAAGTAAATTACCTTATACATATACATATGTATACATAAATAAGCGAAATGCAATAAATAAAACAAATAAATTATGATGAGGACAATGGCAATGACGATTTTTACACTCGTGCTTTTACAGGGAAATATTAAAAATAGCTCAAATCCTGTATGCGATTCGTAGGCACAATGCAAATTGCGAAAGGGTTTTTGCCTTACTAAATACGCAGTGGTCAGACGACAGAAATATGTTACTGGTGAAGAATGCTAATAACATACTTATTGTCCACTATAATTTGGTGGACATAAGTTGCTCCCAGTTTTATAAAATAAGGATGAATGAAAGAAATAGGCAATGTGGAGAAGTATAATCTCGAACCATAAAGCTTAAATACAGTAGAATCCGGCTATAGCGACACTCAAGGGACCGTCGATTTTACGTCGCTATAACGGAGACGTACTAAGCGGAGGCTCTTTCATATGAGTTTGTATGGGAAGCAACCAAGACATCGAATTTTCGTAGACATAACCGGTTGGACGCTTTAAGCGGAGTCGTTATAACTGGATTCTACTGTATATCTAAATGCGATTTTGCAATTCGAACCCAAAATCATTCTCACAATTCTAAGTTGTGGTATGCACACGCCAATGTTCATGTCTCATGCATACACACACGCTCATGTAAGGGTACATAGCACTGTTAAAAGATACTATCACTCAATCGTGCATGCATACATACATATATGTACATATTTGAGAGGGGAGAGAGCATCGAGAAAGAGAGAGTAAGAGAAAGATTGAACGTATAGAAATCTTTTGTTCAACCACCTCGGTCGAGCGCATGAAGCGAAATGATTGTGCTTTCGTATATTTTCGCAGCCCGAACCTAAAAGTGAGGAACCGAGCAAATACTGCGGTCGTTAAGCTCGAAAAAAGTGTACAAAATGCTTTACACTACTTGTCCGGTCTATGTGTTCTATGGTTAGTGGTTCTATGCAGTGTTGCCGTTTTTCCTCGAGAAAAAAACAGCTGAATTAGGACAAAAAGTAAGCCAAAATAAGTTAAATCCCAGAAACAATTAGCTGAAAAGTAAGCTAATATTTTATTATACCCTGAACCCATTGAAAATGGGAAATCAGGGTATAATGGTTTTGTTAAATGTATGTAACAGGCAGAAGGGGGCGACGAGTTGAGTCGATTTAGCTGTCCGTCCGTCTGTCCGTATGTTTGAAAGAGTTGATCTCAGAAGATATAAGAGCTAGTGCTGCAAAAATATCGGATCGGAATCGTTATAATCGATATTTTCGAATTTTGGCAAAAGATCGATATGGCTTTCTTAGTATCGATATATCGAAAAAATATCGGAGCGAGGGTTGACTCCGATGAAGAAAATAAGACCGTGGGAGCCCCAAAAAAATCCGAAGTGTGGAAATATTTTGAAA